CCCGATGACCCCCGACCCCTGCACCCGTGTGAGACCCCCGCCAACCCCCGAACCCCGCCCCCACGACAGCCCTCGGGGGAACCCACGCCCACCGCCCACCGAACCATGCCCACCCCCGCTCCGCCATGGCCCCACCCCGCCAGGGGTAACAACCACTGTGGGGGGGGGGGGGGCCATTGCGGCCATTTTCTGGAAAAAACAGAAAATGCCAAGGGCCGCATGACGACGGTGCGCACCCCGCGTTGTTTTTTTTTTTTTTTTGCTGAGGTCGGGGGTGCTGACCCCTGGCTCCCGGGACCCCCGCCGGGGCTCCGGGGCCAGGGGTCGACAACCCTGATCAGCGCCCTAGGGATAGGACAGCGTTCGGGTATACTTAGTGTTAACCAAGCGTATCTATACTATAGCGAACGAGCAAACACCCTCGGCTGACCTACCTCAGCAATCGCATGTAAAAACTTTTGTATTTGGGTTAGTAGCTCGGTAGGGATACACCCCTAAGGGTGGTGACAACCTCTTAGGGAAAGCAAGTTGTGCCCCGCGGGAACCTATCCTGTCGTAGGGGACTGCGGGAAGTACTGCTGGCGTACCCGGTTGGAGCGGCGAAGGAACGATGCGACCACGCCCGTCTCGGCGACTCCCAGAATGTTATGCCTCGTTTCCGAATTGTATCTTGGTTTTGTTTTCGTTTTAACTCCTACATGACATGGTTGGGAGGGCTCTCGCCTTTACGAAAAAGGCGGGAGCCGATGCGCTCGACAACGCAACCACCAAACCTCATTCAGTGATTTTGAAGGTCGAGTCGTCATAATATTGAATGTGATGGCTCCAATATGAGTGCAGGTCTCAACTAATCGACACTGAGGAAGAACTATCACATTCACTATGATGGTTCGAAAAAACCTAACCCTGAATCGAATATGGATATTCTAAAACATGTTTGGTTGTGGTTGTGAAAGTCACACCTCCATATCGAATGTGACCGTTATTGTAGTCTGTAGGAGGGGGGACAAAGGAAAAGGGTTGATGCACCCGTGGATGTTAGGTCTACGCCTGATGATTTTTTCTTTGTAGGCATGCATTTTTTCACATTATCATGACAATGGTTCGACGTTCTTTGGTGGAGGATTCAATATTAAAAAAACTCAAATTTTTAATTCGGCGTTTTTTGGTGGAGGATTCAATATAAGAAAAACTCAAATTCTCTAATTGTGGAGGGAGTTTTCAATATTTACGGGTACGACATTGTTTTGGAGACGGTGTTAATGATATTTTGCAAGTAGGGGATTGTTTAGGTTCAATAGACGGGTCACATGCCTTCTATATTGAGGATTTTGTGAAAGAGGGATGCCAATGAAAAATTTTGAAGGAGAGAATAAGGGAACCCGATGTGCATGTCGGAAAGAAGCATTGGTGAACTGCATTTGGCATGCAAGGAAACCTCAATTGTATTATACCTACCCCATCCTTCCGTCTATATTGTCAAAGATCCACTGCATCAGTCTCCAACGCTGTCACCCACATATTTGAACCCGAAGGTATTCCCTAATGCAGACCATTATATCAACTCTGGCATCCCTATAATGAGTCAACGGTTTGAGTTGTTCGTGTTCCGCATTAATAGTTGCATTCAGACATGCACCCTACGTCAATCCACCATATCGGATCTGATCATTCCTGGAGGTTGGAGTTTGACAGATTGCGTTTTTGGAGGATTGGACTGTGAGCTCCATCATTTTTTATCGTCACCAGAATTTGCATTTATATGCTTTAGGAGACAATTTGTTTTACAAGGTAAAAAAATCAACTCCTTGAAAATACAGAATTAAACGACTTCACATTACGTTCTTTGTTGGTCATTTTCTCTTCCCTCTTTGCGTCGTTTCAACATTAAAAATATAAAACAAAAACGCCTCATTGACATCATAGACGATGGAGAATGAGAATATATCATCCATTGAAATGGATTCATGCGTAAGCGTTATCCCCAATTTCTAATTCAAATTGGGATGACACAAAGAAGATTAACATGGTGCCATGGACCATGTGCAAGATAGTTCAAATAAATCAAAAAATGGATATGAAGCATTATGTCTTGGTATATATGTGTAAGGATGATACATATAATTTTTTGGAATAAAGGTAAGTGGACTTATGCTATGGGGAACATCCAACGGCTAAGGATGTTAAAACAAAACAAACAAACCAGTGTTAAAAACCCGGTAGGACCGGGGGGTCCTCCCCCAACCGGAACCGGACCGGTCCTACCGGCCGGTCGACCGAGCCAGTTCCCCCCCGGTTGCCTGTAGCACATCTTTTTTTTTTTTTTTTTTTAGCCCATGGTGTTGTTGAGGCCAAGGACTAGACGCACAATGATTGCTGGCAGCGGCAGCCGATGGTTGTCCTGACAGGATAGGCCACCTTCCCTACCCTTCCCCACGTTAATGCTCCCAGCACACCCCCTATCCCTACTATCCTACCTAAGTGTCAGGACCATCGCCCTACCAGTATCGAGGGCAGTCACCAGACAGCAGTGACAAGCACCCCTTAACACTATAACCCCCACCCCTCTTTTCAAAGTTTTTGGGTGGGAAGCATCGTCCCTACACTGCCACTAACACCCCAGTGTGACCAGCACTCAGGACCATCGCCCTACCAGTATCGAGGGCAACTTGGACGAAGCACCCCCTAACACTCAACCCCTACCCCCCTTTTCAAAGTTTTTGGGTGGGAAGTACCGTCCCTMCCCTGCCACTAACACACCCCCACCCCCCTCTTCAAAGTTCTTGGGCAGAACGTCAACGTT